TACACCATTGGCACACATCGAAAAATAAAACTACCAAGTTGTTACGAAATACCTTACTAGGATGTTGGTAACTGGCAGTCTAAAGCATCCTGTAAAATTATGGCACCTGGTGTGAAGTCATTTTCAAGAAAAAATTTTACTTTTGTATACATTTCCAACGGTGGTCTGCCGACCACCGTTGGAAAAACCGAACTATTTTTCTACTACTGCTCCAAATTTACCATTTGGTTTTTGGGTTTTTTTTTCAGTCGAAATTTTGTTTGCTTTTGGTTCCATGTTCATGAACGGGTGCAGGCCAGCTAGACTGGGTACCTTACAATTTACCGGCATTTTTGTTCTATTTCATCTTTAGTGGAGTCAAGGAACCAGACTAGTTGAACATTATTTTGGGTTTTTCTTGGTTTTTCCAGCATTTTAGAGCACCGTACTTCAAACCTGTCAGTGTAACAATATTTGGATCTATTAGACTAACCCCCCTCCCCCCAAATACTTCATTGCTGAAAATTACAGCAAAAGCCAATGATGTACATGTACATTCCCTTTAAAGGACTATAACATCCTGTAAGGGGCCATTCAAAATTCTCAATATTTTTAAATTTGGATTTTTGTTTCCAAATTTTTTTGACCCACCTACCCACCCCAATATATTTGATTAAAAATTTGATTTGTTATCCAGTATCAAAAATCCAAATACTTGCGCTTGCATGCACACACATTCGTAAACACAGGCAGTCGTGGACTCCCTTGGTTTTGTACACACATTTCAATTGAGGACTATCGGTCAATTGTGGACGTATTGTTTGTGTCCTTACATTTTTGTCCTTGGTCCACGATTTCCGGTGTGTAAATACTCATGTACACACAGTACATGTACAACAGGCCCGTCTTTACTGTCGGTTTGTATTGGAGACAAAGTTGGAAAACAAATGCACGCAAGGAACACTGGTGCATAGGCAAGTCAAAATTTCTACATTTTTATGTTTTTTTCTTGCTTTTTTTTATAAAAAGTGAATTTGGATTTTTAATTATCAAAATTCAATATTTTCATATTTTTTTTAAGTCGTATATATAATTATGACACTGGGCAAACACTGTGCTTATCTTTTTGCTTCAAAGAACCATGCAACTTGATGAAACTCATGCAACTTGAAAAAATTCGTGCAAACAAACGTTGCAAAAAGATAAGCCCAGTGTAATTTCAATTCTTTTGATTGAAAACAAAGCTCCAATGGTTTACAATATTATTGTATTTTTGAAAATTGTCCTTTTCTTAATGCATGAGGTGGGCTTTTTCATTTCCCCCTTTTTTGGGGGGGGGGGGGGTACTTGTACTCGTTACTCGTACTCGAGTACTACTCGAGTATTTTTTTGGAGTACTTGTACTCGTACTCGTACTCGAATGTCAAAATACTCGTACTCGATACGACAGTACTCGTACTCGGGCAGCAAAGTACTTGTACTCGCACATGTCGAAATTGTACTCGATCATCAAAGTACTCGTACTCGAATTACAGTACTCGATAAAACAAAGTAGGCCTACTCGTACTCGAATAGCGGTACTCGATAAAATAAAATGGTACATGTATATCACTTACGTTACCATGGCCTTATTTTATCGATACTCCTAGTTTCAAAAGGTCGATTGCGGAGAAATCGAAATTTTCTCTACCTCTACGAACGTCTAGTGTAGCATGAATTTAGGTTTTATGAAATACGGACTCATTGGTGACATTGCGATAGATAATTAGGAGAGGAACCGGTCACGTGAGAGGGTTTAACCAATACAAGGGAAAAAGTGTCCGATTTTCAGACGAGTCCGATTTTCATATGACACCGGACAATATAAGTTATCCCACGAGCGCGAGTGGAACACGGAATAATGTAGTGCGTCTGTGTCCCACACAGACGCACTACATTTTCCGTGTTCCACGAGCTAGATACGCACAAGAAAACGCGAATCTGCCGGGTTTTTTCGCATACACGTTGCATGTGTACTGCGTGTCACACCGTCGACGTTTGCTTACGTATGAAGCCCGGTGTACGTCGTGCCAAAAACCGTCCGGTGCCAAATAGTGTCCGCTGAACGTGCGCATTAGGTGCCAGACACTATTACATGCCAAATAGTGTCCGGGCGCCGTCGATCGAGCGAGAACAAGGGCGCACGTACGTACGTCCTGCCAGACAGTATTATTTTTTCATTAGCTGGAAAAATCGGACAGTATTTTGCAGGAAAAATCGGACAGTATTTTGCAAGGGGGAATCGGACATATTTGGCAGGGCGGGGAATCGGACAAGATCGGACAATATTCAGTGGCGGGGGAATCAGACACTATTTGGCAGGAAAAATCGGACATTTTTTTCGCAGGGAAATCGGACACTATTTGGCAGGGGGAATCGGACACTGTTTGTTGGCAGGAAAAATCGGGCAGTATTTGGCAGATTCAGGTGAAAAGAAATCTTTTCTATACGATGTATTGACAGCTCGACAACACGCAATAGGATGCACACTAAGTGCGGACACTATTCGGCAAGCGTCCGTAAACAATGTGACGTCATAGACGCATGACCAATCAGATCGCATTATGCTAATTAGCGGACACTATTTGGCACCGGACGGTTTTTGGCACGACACCGGGAAGGGACAGGGTGGAATTTTTTTTTGGAATTTGCTAATTCGTTCCCACGAATTACTAATTCGTTCGCACGAATTGCTAATTCGTGCGCACGAATTGCTAATTCGTGCGCACGAATTGCTAACTCGTGCGCACGAATTGTTAATTCGTTCCCACGAATTGCTAATTCGTTCCCACGAATTGCTAGTTCGTTCCCACGAATTACCAACTCGTTCCCACGAATTAGTAACGCGTTCCCGGATGCACGAGTTAGCAATTCGTTCCCACGAATTAGGAAATCGTGCGAACGAAATAGCAATTCGTTGGAACGAATTAACAATTCGTGCGAACGAATTAGTTATTCGTGCGAACGAGTTAGCAATTCGTGCGAACGAATTAGCAAATTACAAAAAAAAAAAATCCACCCTGTCCCTTCCCGGGCTTCATAGTATGTCAATTATTTTCCACCCAGGAAAAGAAAATTGGTCAGCTGATAAACATCACCTGGTCACCAGACAGTGGTCACATTCCAAAGTCTTGGCACAACTTCAAAAACTTTCTGGTATATAGGGAAGCTTGTAGCCACGCCTACTATTTTGTTCACAGGTGCCAAAATGTAATACAATGTCATCGCATAAGCCAGATTGATCGATATGCAAATTAACTTGAAGAGGGTGCCAAAGATGATACTTTTGATACTCTACACAATGGCCTAAACTTAGTTTTCAGTTTAGAATGAACAGAGTGGAATTGAATTTTAATGCCTAGGTGAAAGCAACCTCGTCCCCAGGGTGTCGAGCAGTACGCGCCCACCACTACCTGCTCTCTCACCCTGGTATTGGATCATTTGCATGTGCAAGATTTTTGAACACGTATGCAAATGAGGAACAGTCTGATGCATGGATATGCGTTACACATTAGCGTTTGTTTTTGTATGCGGCGTCTGGGGTTGGGTCTGAGTTACGAAAACACGATTTTTGAAATCAAACTGTTACGATCTTATCGAGACAACATGCAGTATCATATTTCATATTAATATGAGCAAACTGGAAAGGAAATTAGTATTTTCGAGAAGGCGTGGACGAATGATCGCGAAAACACGTACTGCACGTTGTGAATAATAGCACCAAGTACACGATAATAATTCATTACTAGCCAATTGCGGTCTCGAATCAGGATACAGGAAAAAAAGTTTCCTATCCAGGGTTTACTATTGGAAACGCGGTTGGAAATAAAGTAAGCACTGGGGACGAGTTTGAGGTGAAAGCTTATCCCATGACCTTTGACCTCAATCTTAACACTATAGCAGTCAACTACTAATACACAAATTAAGGGGATTTTTTACACTAAAAATGAAAATCTTTATACAATACATTGTACAGCTTTGTCTAAGTTTAAAGGGCGTGCGATTGCAATGTACTTTTTGTATCCCTAAAAATACACATCTGAGTACCATTTAACCTAACTTTCAAGTTTCGTTTTTCCATTTTTGAGGGGTACTTTGGTGCCTTTTTGGTTGTTATGCTGATACAAACTTCCATATTCATTAGCAAAACTGTAATGTCACCGCAACGTTATGGCTACAGCACAAACAGCTGCACAATGTTGGATATGTAGTGGCCCTATTTTCTTATCGAAATCAGAGTCAGACAATAGAAGGCCGATGACGTAATGCTAACGGGCAATTACGATTGGTCAGAAGTGTGAAGAGTGACTGCGGTTTGGTAATCTTAGCATTTTGATTGGTTGAAACAGACTGAAAAAGGTGAATGTTAACTGCTTGGGTGGGAAGGAAAATTTTGACTCGAAAGCTAGTCCCAACCGGTTCCAACCGGTTCCAAAGACTTGCCAAGTCACACAATTATTCAGAAAAAGTTGCAAAAGGTCAGGGATGAAGTAATGCAAATGGGATGAAAGCTACATATCATGTTTTTTTCAATGTCAAAAATCAAATCAAATTAATCTTCGGTTTGTGAAAAATAAGCTGAGGTTAGATGGCGTAATTAGGGTCCAATTTGCAGGGCTGGTGAGACAGATTGTGCATCAGTTCCAGGGACAAAATAATATTGTGGATTTAGACTGGAATTTAGGGGGTGGGGCAATTTTTTTTCAAAAATTAAAAAAGGGGGGAACATCGGAAATTAAGAAAAGCAAAATTGAAGCTGTAATGTGTTCACAGATAATAATTTTTTGGAAGGTAGTTTTCTTGGTTTTCCAAGGAATCCGTAACCCAAGTTTTTTTGCTCTCTTTAAAGAGTAATAATGACCACTGCCCCCCCCCTCCAAAGAATGGGATTTTTTTAAAATCGTAAACCCGTATATTAGGTCTATACTTAAATAATGTTATTTAAAGAAATGACACTTCAAGCACTCACGAAAGAAAAAAACTTAATGCAGTATGCTGTCAGACATGAATTTATTTCAACATAATTTAGATTTACAGGATTTAAATGAGTTTATAATAAAACAAAATTTACCATCGTGCATTTCTGCAGAGTTTTGCCTGAATTAGCCAAAAATAAAATAAAGCCCCAAAATTATCTAATCGTCAGCGTACACAAAACATCCAAATCAACATAACTTTGGCTGAAAAACAATTCATTCATTGGGTTCAATCACTGAGTATGTAAGTGATATGCACACAATAAAAATTAAATATGTACACAAAATAGGAGACGTGGTTGACTCAATTTCACGAGCCCTGATGAGCTCCACCATGTATAAAGATTCAAATAACAGTATAAAAGCTCTATAATGTTTCTTTCTCCCATCGAACACATAATTATGTGCAAGACACATGTACTGAAGGCATCATGTGACGGAGCTATGTACATAGCGCCCTCATGCGTTTTAATAATTAATCAATTCACCAAATAAACCTTGCTAGTTGCGAAATAAGGTGGTGAAGATAACCTAAAACATCTTAAAATTAGATATACATGTATTAAATAATGAATAAACAAATACAAAAGTTCATGTATTCCTCAATGTCAGAAGTATTAATGTCATCCGCAGGTGAAAGCCCTACATTCTGTGTACTTAAAAAAATCACGCAGGCCACTTCGTAAAATTGTAGGTTTATACAATGTGTATACAATGCCAAAAAGTTTAGGATCTATTGTATAATGAAAATACAATTATACAATACTATAAGGTCTCTGCAAAATTTAATTCGGAGTTTAAAGATGAAACAAAGTTAAAAGCATGATTAATTGAGCTAACGTGAAACTTTTGATAATATTTTCAGACGCTACGTAGTTTACATACACAACTCATCAGAGGTTATTTTTAACTGGATTAATCCTTAGAATTCACACCATACATCTTTCACAGACTAGACCCGCGTGCTGAGATCGTGAAAGATAAGACTGTTTTATTTGTTGTAACTTAATGGTAGCATTGCATATGGATATGACAGACCCGCACAATGAGTTCTTGCCTTGGTACAAGGCGTTCGACGATAGAGTCCGATGATCAATGGTTGGCCACGCACAATGCACTGACCATCGATCATCGGACACTACCGCCGAACGCTTGCGACCAAGGCCAGGCTAACTGAGTTCTAGATTCTTAGCAATTTTGTTTATGGTACTTTCGATTTCGGCTCGTTATAGAATGCACGATTAGTGCAATGTACTCTCCATAACTCCGGATTCTACAGTATTGTGTGGCTCCAAATCGAATAGAGAAAGCCAAACTTTTGTTACCCATTCTTCATGTAACTGCTTTGTACAAACTGTATGACTCATGAAGGTTTAGAAATTGCATTATGTCCCACCCACACACCATGCGTAAACAAAAAATATTTTCGGGAAGGCTTGGCACTTCCCATGACCAATTCTGAATAGCATTCCCGTGATCAAAAGAAAAATCTGACAAAAAGCCGGGGAAATTGAAATTGTTGAAGCCTAAAATAGTGAACGAGTAAGTGACGATTTTGAGAAAAATGTTACCTTTTTCGGGTCATCTGAAATGCTTTCTCATAAAAAGATTGAACAAGTAGCAAGAATATATAAGTAACAGTTATTAAGGTTTTCAAGAGAAATTCAAAATGCATTAATTTGCATATCCCGTTGGTTGAAGTTTTTTTTCTCGTAACAAATTGTCAATACTTGTTTATTATATTTTTATCGAAAACAAAAACACTATACTTTATCGTGAGACTTTTTGGGCTTTTTGTAACCCTCTGAAAACGGCTTTATTTTGCGCACAAATGAACCTGCCCTGCAGAGTGGAACTATTGTCTGGCAGCTAATAATTTGAATTATTAAAAGTGAATAATTTTTTTAAACTAAGAACATAGCAATTATAAAACAAATTATTTGGGGAACGTGTCTGTAATTTATTACAATTCCTGTTTAGACATTGAAGTCTGATCACGGGCTCCTCTTAACTTGCTGCTGTGGTCACGTGACAGTGTGTTACCATCTTCTGGAATGTCTTTCTCAAGCTTTCTCAAAATCTCCTGCAAAATACAATACAAGAGATGTACAAAACCATTCACTTCACGAGATAATATCGATTATTTATAATATATTATCTCAAAAATGTATTATTAGTTCACTTCCAATGTTTATTCAAATTCGAGGATCCAGACGAATGTCATACCTGTCTTTGTTTCGAAATCTGACCGTCAATGATGTCGCCTAAGATCATCATCTTCTGCCCAAGATTAATGGAAAAGGAGTCGAACTGTGGGATTGAAGAAAAGATGGAGAGTAGTAAATTTGGTTGGCAGATTTTCTCATCAAAGTTTTGTGTTAAGCAAGAACGAGATTCTCTTCCATTTGGGGTACAAATTAAATGTAGAATGAACGAGTGGTTTAAGACTACCCACATCATTCCCACAAAAACTGCGCCTGGCAATCAAATGTCAAAGCCGAAAATATGGCTTAAGAACATTGGCATACTATAGTACAAATAAGCTGCAAACTTATCGCAATTAGCATAACATTTAGACTGGTGAGCATTTTTTTCGCAACGCAACTTTCTGTTCAAAAGTTCAACAACACCCTATTCTGAGCGTCTGTTTCTCGTAGGGAGAAATGGATTACCTTGTTGATTTCTACAGGAAACGTGTCGGTGTCACGTGACGTTATCTTGCCATCACCATCAGCATCAAGTATCTGGAAAATCTGCCACAAACAGGGTGAATGTACAAGAAAATTTACAACAAACCAACGTGTGTATATCCATGGGCGTAGCCAGGATTTTTTTTAAGAGGGGGGCAAAACATATTTCTGCCACAAAAATCGTGTATTTCTCAACACATTCTCGATTTATCAGTTTTAGAGGGGGGCAGGGACATCCCCCCAACCTATTAAATTTACACTATTGTGACTTCGCGCCTCTTTTTCTTTTCTTTTTTTTCTCTTTTTTTCCTGCCTTTTTTTTCCTTTTCCGGGGGGGGGGGGCCAAGTGCCCCCCTTGCCCCCCCCCCCCCCCCCCGCGACGCCCATGTGTATCTGTTCTTGTTTTATAGCAACCACTAACAGATGAACTATCGGTATATGTAGTGATTCTAAAGGGTTCTTGGCACAATCAAATGTCTCGAAAACCGCCAATCACTGGCCATAAAACTTCCTTATTCTGTCCACAGATGATGGCTTATTTGCAGAAGTTGCCCTTTTTATACGGAGGAAAATAATTTTGAGATGTTGTCAGCACTGCCTAAAACAAAGAACCCAAGTTACCTGTTGAGCGGCATCTGAAGCTTCCTCGGTCCAGATGTCGTCTAGGTCCAGTCTTGGAAGTATCTAAAAGTGGGAAAACAAAAGAGAAAAACTGTCTCAAAGTGCCAAAAGGGTACTTTGACTATTGACTCCACGTGGTGAGAGTCTCAAATTTTTAAATTAATTGTGATTGATTGGATGTAATTTGCTAAAATATACAGTTTCAAACAATCAGAACATCGATTGAGACCTCTGAAATCACAACAGAAAGTTCATAAATGTTTCCAGTTACCGTTTCCATGACTTCGAGAAACTGCCCCTCTGTCAAAGAATCTGTCTCCTTTTCATCCATGAATATCGTCAAAGTTGCCCTAAAACATTTATAGAAAAAGGAATCTTGAAATGAGCAAATCAGCCTTTTTTTGGTTGAAACAGTTTGATTTAGTGGTAGTATTCAATACCAATTTGGGGAAATATAAAGCTTTGAAACTCACGACGGGTCTCTGACGAAATCTAGTTCTGGATGGATATCCGATTGAATGTCACCGTTCGTCTGGTCGTGGTATGGGAAGCTGACATCGGCCAGCGAGAGTCCCGGGTCCATCATGCCGCATGACTCCGAGGAAGGCACGACGTAGGCCTGGTGATTCCACCAGATGTTGACTGCAACGTTGCTACCGAAGGAATTCACCTGATGAATCCTGAATCAGTGATTGAAGACAATTATGCACATATTCACGATCTAAAATGCCATGGTGACATGTATGCTTCGCCTTATATATAATTTGCAAGTGAATCTTGAGCCATGGAGGTATGCTTGAGCGAAGGACTTTCTTAAAGGTATGTAGGATCATCGGCTATTTTGTGCATTGTTTTCGTTTGAGGCCCAAAATAAATTGCTCAAAATCTTACAGGTTGCATAACAACTAACTTGAAGTTTCAACTCAGTGCATGGGCGTCAATCCTGGGAGACAGGGGGACATGCCCCCCCCCCCCACACTTTTTGAAGGGTGGGGGACACAATATCAAATGTCCCCCCCCCCCCCAGATTTTTGAACTCGTGCCTCATTTACAGGGCCCTATTATGTACTTCAATGTATCTTTTGCTAAATGTACATGTATATTCTACTGCTATATTTTACTCGGGTCTTGGTACCCTAGAGGACTCCTAAGGCCAAAAAAAATAAGTCTCCGGTTTCTGGTATGGAGCTTGTCCAAAAAGTGGTGTGGCGACGCGGCTTTTTTTTTTTTTACCTGACTTTTTTGCTTCAAATGTCGGCTGATGACTGCAAATGGTGCCCGACTAAACTTAGTGCAAATATATGGGAGTCCAGAGAGGCCACATAAAGCTTATTCTCGATCATAACCCCATCTAAAAACACGTTAAAATTGTGCAGTAGCAGGATTCCAGTCAAACCAGTGAGAACATTTTGTTTATTCAAGACTTATTTGAGACCTTTACTTGTTTTTTTCTTTTTATCACAATTCTTAGGCAAATTGGGGATTGGCTAAAGAACTGCTGCAGTGCTACTGAGCAAGCAGGGGTTTATTGTCCGGGGCCACGCGGTGCCTACACACAATAAGCATTGGGTGAACCAAGTTCATGTCGCAAAGTTCGGAAGGGCAAGGGGACTTTCCAAAAATCTTTTCCCACGATGGGTCCTGAAATCTGAATACAATAACGATTCCGAATTCTTTGAGTACGCAAGCCTCGTTGATGTTTTCATAGTGCTCTTTTGAAACATTCTCCCACTCGATTTGTTTTTCCAGGTGCCTTTCATGGTTATTATTTGTAAGAGTCTTTTGTGTTCATAGACTCCGTTGTGTGAATTGAACCGAACTTGTGTCGCAATTACTGTGAAACGAGGGAATTTCCAACCGTTTTTCACTGGATCTGGAATATACACTCTATAAAAAAAATACTCTCTTGAAATTTGACTAACAAATCAGTCAAAGTTGCACCCAGCTGAGACCCTTGCTGTGGTCAGCTGGGTACAAGTCTGACTGTTTTCTATTGTCAAATCTAACTCTTCTAGGGTCAAAACAGACGCTATCATTAACTAATACCGGTATTACTTTTGAAGTTGTAAAACTTGTATCAGTCCTTTTTTGAAATAATAGTTTAAATAAATGCTTTGAGTGATCACACAATTAAAGCACTTTTGTACAAAAGCAGGCTTGTTACTGCAATTGAGCATATCTATATATCAGACGGTTATGTTTGGTGTAAAAAGTAACGATCGATGATTCATTATTCACCGTATGATTCATTATTCACAGTATTTACCGTACATTTTCCACATGCCTATACATGTACATTGCTTTTCCTTGATCATTTTCTGTGGTTTCATAATAGGCCAATATATTGGACCACTCTATTGAGCTAATGTGTTGTCTGTGCTAATGTGTTGTCTTTGTTATAAAAAAAGTAAAAGTGACTTTCCACCAAAATACAATAAAAAGTTGTTATCAAATCTTAATCGATCCTTCATCAAACCCAATCGGAAGTATGAATTTGAATTTTTGATGCAATTCATGAAATCAGGAAATCAGTGGTCTTTTGGGGTTTTTTTTAACTGGCATAGGCCTACTTATAGTAAACAGTATGGAATTAAAGATAAACTTTTGTGTTGATTCCATTAACATGAATGTAGGCTTATTCACAACACAATGCAGAAATATCAAGAAAAATATTGACAGTTAACACAAATGCGAAATAAGTAACATGCTCATACAAAATGTTTTTGTACTGTATCTTCTGACCATTTGAACGGAAGGTAGATGCAGTCGCCAGCTTGCATTTTCGCTTCATGAAACTCCAGGTTTCTCATTCCAGGGAACTTGTTCAAGTCGACTCGTTCCACGTCTACACTCGAGTAGAAGCCTTCTGGATGGTCGAACACAATCTTTAAGATGAAGGGAGACCGTGGAGCTATTAATTATAATATCAATTTATAATGCTTTAACTTGTTCCCAAGAGCATAAAGCTTTGTGGTGATCGCCTTCCTTTCAAAAAACAGTACTGAAAAGTCTAAAAACTAACCAATGTACACCTGAACTATTCAAAATTGATGCATGGGGGGGGGGGGGGCGCCAAAGGATACCATTTATAAGTGTTAACATTTGAAACATTTTGATCGCAGTAACATTGTTTAACGTATTAAAGTGCATATACTCCGGAAAAACCAAGCAAGCCTGAATGTAAAAACTCAAAGCAACTGTCAAAACTCAAAATTCGTCCCGGAATAAAACTACACATCAGGAGGCTTTTTATTCCTAATTATATCCAGGGTAGCACTCCACTCCTGGTCTGGACCCTCCCACGCCAGTTTTCACCTTAAAACCACGTAGACAATCGTCATACAAATCGACGCTATCCGTCTGGGTTTTTCCAATCAAATTAAGCATAATTGACACTATACAGCGTCGATCTTGAGTCAACATGACATTAAAAAAACTGAACCTCGGCAAGCAGCCTTTCATGTGTCATTCACCGGTCAGGTGTGTGTCTGAACTCTTGATGTTTACCTGTTGTCTGTAGCGGGTGTAGTTGACGAGAAGGAAGTCTTTCTGGCCCCTGAACAGACAGTTAATAATATCCACGTAGTCGATGTGTACATGGGACTTGGTACCTCCGCTACTAAACCAGAGCATCTGTCCACATAGAAGAGAATGTCAATGTTGTTCGTGAAAACTGCACCACTGCGGGGCGAAGGATCCTTTAGTTTTCGCCGCAGAGACAACACATTTTCAATAAAAGCATATTATGATCATTTGCTTTTCGTGCATTGTTTTCGTACTAAGTATAACACCACTGTTTATAGTCCAGCGGATATGTGAAAAAAATTGTGCACTTTTGCATAAAAGCGTGAAACTTGGCACAGATGTTTATATTCATGCGAGAAAATGTTCTAGATGTGGAGCCATCGCAAATTTACCCTTTTAGGGGCCTGGCATCCATTAAAAAAAAGGGGCGGGACTTGTCGTGCCCGCAGTGAAAACGGTTTTTCCCACTTGTTACAAAAGCAGGAAACTTCACAAAGACATAATTATATAGATTATTAGTGTTTTCCAGATTCAGAGCCACCACAATAGTACCTTTTTGGGGGCGTGGCAGCCATTAAAAGAAAAGGGGGGTTTAATTATTATGCCCACTTTGGAAAACATTGTGCCCATATTTCATGAACGAATAAAACATCCCACAGACGTTTATATTCATGAGAAAAAAAATTCCAGATGTGGAGCCATCTCGAACACACCCTTTAAGGGGCGTGGCAACCATATAAGAAAAAAAGGGGGGCGGGGTTTTCATTATGCTCACCCTGGAAATATTGTTCCCACACTCATAGAGAAATGGAACTTTCCACAAACATTGACATTCATGAGAAAAAAAATTCCAGATGTTGAACCATCTCAAACACACCCTTTTAGGGGCGTGGCAACCATATAAGAAAAAAAGGGGGGGGGCCGGGTTTTCATTATGCCCACCCTGGAACTATTGTTCCCACATTCATAGAGAAATGGAACTTTCCACAGACATTGACATTCATGAGAAAAACAATTCCAGATGTGGAACCATCGCGAACACACCCTTTTAGGGGCGTGGCAACCATATAAGAAAAAAAAGGGGCGGGGTTTTCATTATGCCCACCCTGGAACTATTGTTCCCACATTCATAGAGAAATGGAACTTTCCACAGACATTGACATTCATGAGAAAAACAATTCCAGATGTGGAGCCATCGCGAACACACCCTTTTAGGGGCGTCGCAGCCATATTGAAAAAAAGGGGGCTGGGTTCTCATTATGCCCAACATGGGAAAAATGTGCCCGCATCTCATAAACGAATGCAGCTAATTCCCACAGACATTAATACTCACGAGAAAAAAAATCACACGTGAAGCCATCGTAAACACACCCTTTTAGGTGCGTGGCAGCCATAATAAAATCGGGGGGGGGGGGGGGCAGGAATCATGATGCCCCTATAAAAGAAAGTTGTGCCTACCTTTCATAAATGGATTAAATTCCACTCGGACATATATTCATAAAAATCTTCTTTCTTTTTTTAATGTGAAGCCATCACAAACCTACTCTTTTAGAGGCGCGGCATCCATTTTTAAAATGGGGGGGGGGGGGGTTACTCAATATGCACAACGTGGAAAATTTTGACCGCGTATCATATAATAAAATCCACCTCAGATTTCTTTCATTTCATTTCAGAAACAATTATTTCCACATGAATAAGCACTTTAGAAGACAAAACAATTGTTACATGAAAACTACTAAGTGGAGGCATTACACAATTCATCGATATTTTGTCACATATCCGATTTTTTTTTATAATGATTGAGTAGGTTACGTTTTGGCAAATTGCCTTGCCCTGTCAGTTGGTTTGTTTATTGGTTGGTGGTTTTGCTTGTTTGTCGGTCGATCGCTTCGTTGGGCTTGGTCTGTCCGTCCGTCACTTTGCCAATTATTAATCAGTAGGTTAGTTCTGAACATCTGCAATACATCATCTTGTTCTGTCAAGATGAATTTGTTTTCTCTTACAAAATGATCCTCCAAACTTACTGTTTCCAGCAAATTAGCAGTGACGTTAGTACAATGCAAAGATGGCGGGATCAGCACGTCTTTCCTGGAATAGATCAAACACATTACAATCACAAATGATCGACAAAATTATGCATGGTTATGAAGAATGAGATGAATAAAAATTCAGGAAATAAAGCGATGGCAATCTTTACAATACACAACGATGGCCCTTAAAAATATCGGAAGACTGTGCTGTCGTGCCAACCACACCTTTGTAACGAAAATCATAGCAGTCTGAACTTTACATATATTTTTCTGTACATGCATTAGAAAATGAAGATATTCTAAAGTTATGGAAGAGACTTGTCTTTTTGTGTACGTTAAAGTCACAGCACTCACTTTAAGAAATCTGGGACTCTTGCGACAAGGTACTCATCAGTGGTTTGGTATCTGTCCAGGAATTCAGCGAAGGGCATGTTCATCCTCGGTAACTGTCTTTCCTCAACCTTCCGCATCTCCACTCTGATCAGCTGCTGGGACTCGGGCAAGCTCTTCAGGTACTTGTCGGTCCATTTCTGGAAGGCTGGCGAACGCCTCGCTCCTTGTTTGATGATGACGGGGACGGAGGGGTAGACATAGCTGCGGAAGAACTCGTAAGGGGAAGGGAAGTCCTGGATGACTGAGACGGGGAGACGGGTAGCCTCGGAAGCCAAGGGTTTGAGATGACCTGGTGGTAATGAGGTGGGTGGGGAGGAGGATTGAGCATCCTCGGCACCTGACTGTTGTAAGGATACCATGAGGCAGATGATGACGGAGGGGATCTTAGTAGACTTCATTGTAAAGTCTTTAAGGTAGCCTGAATCGATGTCCCAAAGTTCTTGGGACTTTAAATCTGAGTTTAAACGATTATTTACACAGAGCAGATTTATGCGCACACTACCAGGTCGTAAATGGTCGGTAACGGTCAGAGAGTCCCTTGGATGGAGCTACCCTCCGCAAACGGAGCCAATATACCAGCGCCGCGAGTTACGGCAGGGTTTGGGCCTATGCACGTTGAACCCGTGACAGCCTGCTAGTCCCCACAAAAGAACACTGCCATACCAACTTATTAGGCGGTGTTAATGTTACATGGGCGGAGAATTGCAGGTGTAGGTGCAGTTTCTATACTTACTTTTGCAACTGCCAAGTCGAGCATGACTGCGCGTGGCTGATTCCGCGGGTGGCATTAAATAAAAGTATAGCGCACAAGTCAAGTCCACATCATACCAGGCTTCAGGATGGAACAGAAGACAAGTCTAGTCGCTGCTTTCGTTCTGTGTCTGCTGCTTGTTTCTCTTCAATCAACGGGTAGGTTAATTAATTTTCTTATTATGAAACTGATGGAGCACCTCATCTTTTTACTAGTTTTTTTTTATTTCTTCGTAAGGGTGCCAGGGTTGTTTATTGGGTTGGTGGTTTATTTGTTTGTTGTTGGGCTGTTGGGTTGTTTGTTTGTTTATCTATTTATTTTGGCCATTTGTAAAACAGGACATCGTTTTACACTAAGACAGCATCGGCAACCATACATAAATTGCACAAGAATTGCAACAACCAATATTATGGTGCTCGGATCCTGCCAATTGCATCACACATTGCCGCAACTTCAAGCAAATGCATAACGGCATGAGGTGTTGCGTGTTAGTACTCGGGTTCAGGGCGGACACAGAACTACCAAATTGTAGACAGGGGCGGGGCGACAAGAGGGCTCGAGTATTTTTATTTTGTTCAAAAAGGGGAAAGGGATTATTATAACCGGGTATAGTATCGTACGCTATTTCCACATTGTAATATCAAACTTATACAATTTATAGGTATGTGTAGCTGATGATACGCAAAGTTAATATTTATTTCCTAAAATTTTCTGCCAAAAAAGTGTCGTCAGCCCTCCGAATAATGAAAAAAAATGGTGGGTTGGGAGTGGGGAGGGATGATGGCCCCCGTTTGCACCCCCCCCCCGATCCGGCAACGACTCGAGTTGTTTGAACATGGGTATCTATGCGCGATTGGAGTGATTACAAACAATATGATTGCTGATGGGAAATATGGAGCTTCTTAAATACGATCGGCGCGGACTCAAATTAAATCTAATAGCTGAAGTTTCACATCAGGAAGTCCTTTGCAGCTGGGAAATTAAAAAGATATTCTGAATTTTTCTTCCGAAAAGATTTATGAAGAACTGTACTTGAATGTTTACGCCTCCCAATTGTTCAACTCTTTCAGATGCATGCCGTAGTCGAGGTGGCGGAGGAAGACCGCGTGAGTACTTTAAAGACGTTTAGCTAGGGGTTACGAATTTCGGGTGTTATTCAAAGCTATACAATTATGTTTTATTATTTGATTTTAAATGCCTAAAATGCGTGGCTTTCACAATTATTTATTTAAAAATATTATGTTTCGTATTCAGTTATCTATAGGGATTCATTGGGAAACTAATATCAATGCTTGGATGCACTTCAACATGACATTAAAAACTGCGCAGTTCAAATATCAGTACCCGGATGTCCTTGTTGGGAATACCAAATAGGCCTACTTACCGAATTAATATATTTTATTTTTAATTGGTTCATTCTAGATTTGATTTCCTTTCGTCTTCGGAGTGTGAAACTTAACCACCTGGTTTTCCGTTCTTAGGCGACCTCCTTCTTTAAGGCTCAATTAGCAACCGTTTTGCTGTCCTTGTTTATTTCAGGGTACATAGGGGTGGTTTATTGCAAATATTTCATCATTTTCCACTACTGTTATTCAGTGTTTGATCTGGCATCAATAGGCATAGCTGATTTAGCGAATCTTAACTATGTTACAAAAACACCACGTGAAGGAAATTTCTCGAACTCAATTTCCAGAACTTTGCGCAAGTGAACATGCAGCCCTTAAATATTTTGATGGTTGATGCTTGTGATATACGTGACTGCCAAGTTTAGTACGAACTCCACTCTTTTTTTTTTTATAAAAACTGAAACTAGTACTGAACTTGAAAACTCATTCATTGCCTTTCCTTGATGTACTCATTTCCAAACGGGCCGATGGTTCACTTGAACACTATGTGTACAGGAAACCTACACATACAGACCGATACCTTATAACCGCACCCTACTTCGAAGGGTACATAAAATATCATCAGTGACGATGAACACCTACAATCTGAACTGAAGCGCCTCAATAAAGTGCTTAGAGACAGTGGGTACAGACCTAAAAATCAAAGCCTCGCACCGAATACGAGCAAGTCTCAGACCCTGAACACACCCGACATGCCGGTTGCCATCCTTCCGTACATTTTTTGGTCCCCCAAAAGTGGGTCAAAAAAGTTGTGGCGGGGCCGTGTAAGGGCCCCGAATTTTTGTTTTGATCATAGATGCTCTGTGTTGCGATCTGAGGCAATTTCTGAACACTTTAACCCATGTTTTTTTGAGGGAAAGATGGTGGTGTACTCATTGCCTGCCTTTATTGCGACGTCACATAAAAAAAAAAAATTTTTGGGGGGGGGGAGGGGGGCCATGCCCCCCCCCTTGATCCGCCCTTGATTGGCCATGCATCACACAAGATCCAGCGTATCCTCCGTGAAGCCAATATTATTGAGGTCTACTACCGAATCCGCAATAAACTAGAAATGAAATTGTACACCCACAAAGACAAGCACAACCCGAGAAGTCAAGCAGGAGTTACCGAATTCCTTTCTCATGTTGCAAAGTGTTTATTGGCGAGACCGGCAGATACCTCACTACCAGGCTTAAAAAACACATAGCTTACGGGCGCAGAGGGGAACTAACACTCTGCTATTTGGATCATGTTGTTGATTGGGAACAAGCGGAAATCATAGCTTCAGAGAAACACTGGTACACCCGTCGTATCAGAGAAGCTATTGAGATCCACACACATGACATTGTACCACACACCTTCTCAAATGTGTATCCTTGTGGAGACATTCCTTTGTTCTCGTGTAGTAAAGTGTTCAATTTTGAAAGTGAAGTTTCAAAATGCTCTTATTTTAACCAGAATTAGTTTCCTTGGCTGAAATTTGTACTTAATATCCCTTTTCTAAAACTCTTCCATTTGCGACGGATCAACCCACCTTGGAAATTCCTAGTTTTTGAGTAAAACCCATATATCTATTTCGTGAAAACCTTGTGGAGACCTATTCGTCTATAGAAATTGCCCTGTGGAGACCTTTACAATGTTTTGTTCCCTATTGTGTGTGAGTCTCCACAAGGATACGAATTTGTGGTCAAGTTATCGGCTATTTCATAAGCAGCATATGGCATTCAATATTACCAAGTTGCAACACTCATGGCTCACAGCCTACTGACACACCTGAGCGAGCAATGCACTCAGCGGGCATCCCTCAACACAATGCCCAGGCAGTGGGGTGGGGGTGGGGTGGGGGTGGGGGGAGGTTGGGGGGGGGGGGGGGGTGGGGCTGGGGCGACAGCCCCCCCCCCCGTCGCCCCCCACTAAGATTTTGAGTTTCTAAAAAAGTTATCATTGATCTACATGACGCCCCCGTGAAATTTTCCAGCCCCCCAGCGCCCCCCCCCCCCCCCCCCCACTGAAAAATGAAAAATTCCTGGCTACGCCACTGTGCCCAGGGCTCACAGCCAACTGACACAGTCGAGCGAGCAGGGCATCCCACTCTAACACAATGCCAACAGACAACCAATCAGAATCAATACAAGCTGCACTCCCAATCCTAACACAGCGTACTTAGGAGTAGCATCTCCAACTCTCTTCAGTCTCCTACGACGACTAAAGCAGGCTAGTCGAAATGTTGAGACCAAAGACAAGTTTTTTTTAGAACTTAAAGCAGGACAGTTCTTATCAGAGCAAAAACTACAGAGCGAAAGTTGATAATAAGCAGGACAAGTTCTTTTCAGAACTTAATATTTTCTAAGCAGTACTTATTACCACATGGTGTTACCGCAACCGAAACGATACTGACACAAAGTATATACACAGTGATAAAAATGTCTTGGAGTTATTCAAATCAAATCACTTAAAGTCTTACAGAAATCTTTAAGATTTTTTTCATTGCCTGACTGCTGAAACATAATACTAATAAATACTAGTGCCGTACGCGATGTAGGAAAGACGAACTTTTTGTCGAGAATTGGGTAAATACGAAGCCCGTTAATAGTGCCAACATTTTTTTTCGATTTTTTTTTTAATGGTTTTCGTAGGAGTCAATGTGCCATACAAAGTTGGGGCCTCTTCCGTTGTATGTCCTTCTCTGTAGCCGTCGTCGCCTTGATCGACTCCCTCTGGGTCTAGTAATCCCAGAAGACGGTGCACCATTTCTCGGCTTACCCGATGGCCATTCTGAAGGGATCTCAGGTGCATCCACGGGTAACCACAAAGTTGCCCTGAGGTACTCAACTGCCCTTCTATAAAACATGCAACATCAACAATGTCTGTGTGGTTTTTTCGGCGATAAAGACCATGTTCTCGCAATCTACGGTGTAATTACGCTTGCTGAGAATGATATTATGACTACAAGCAAGAGAAGCAAGTATTTCGTCATAACTTAGTCCCAACTAAAGTAATGCCTAATCAAATGGAGACGCGGTGTGTCCGGAGCCGCGGTAGCCTTGATGTCTGCCGGAAATTTGAGGGGGGGGGGGATGAAAAAAATAACTAAATAAATGTAACAAAAACAAAAGAAAACTTTCCCCAAAAACAATTCCCCCCAAAAATAATAACTTTAAAAACACTGAAAAAAAAAACACCTTACAAAAAACCCAAAAAACTTTCCCCAAAAAAAATCAATAAAAAAAAAAATCCAAAAGTTACTACAAATTACGGAGCCCCTAAAGGGACATCCAAAATTATTTTTTATCTCGTGCGCACGACATAATATCTCGTGCGCAACACATATATCGTGCACACGAGATAAAAAATAATTTTGAATGTCCCTTAAAGGGGCTCCGTAAAATAGACTGCGCGGCC